ACTTCTCTTACTTCTCAAAATCATTTTTGAGCTCTTCCAAGGCCTGGGACTGATTAATATTTTTCTTGGAGGCTTTGGTTGTAGGTGCTTTGACTTTGTTGTCTTCTTCTGGTTGTATGTTTTGATCTTCTTTGTCACCAAAGAAAGATTCTATGGTCTGACTTTTTTTGGCAGTTTATTCATGGTCCCAGCCAATTACTTGAGTTATCAACTCTTTGTTATGGTAAGGGTCTGTTTCCAGTGTGGAGAATGTACTGTCCCAAGCTTCAGGGGTTTTGTGCAGCTGTTTTCAGAGATACTTCTAGGGTCCTGTAAGTTTTCAGTTATCCCAAAGTGATAAGGGGTGAGGTGTCTACTCCTTTCCTGGCCTGTGCTCTGGTGTATGAGTGACCACAAGCACTCTTTTCTGTCTTGGAACTGTGAGGAAGATTTCGTCTCACAGCCACTACAAGCTCCACCATGCCAGTGCTCCTTCTCGCCCCAGGACTGCCCCTCAGAACTATGACCCAGATCCAAGCACGGGCAAAGCTAGAGATTCCTGCCTCAGCACTGGCAAAGAGATCCCTGCAATCCCCTTCTGATCAGCCACTTGATTCCCCCTCAGTCTGTGGGCTGGAAGCTCAGGAGGCAGACACCGCCCCGGGGCTGAGCTACCTTGGGAACTGAGGCTGAAACCTATCTTCTCTCTTACCGCAGAAACAGACTTTTCCCACTGACCTTCTACGTTGTCTTTGGTGTTCGTGAGTTGAGAGGTCTAGAAACCTCCACAGCTGCCTGTGATTCATTCCGCTGAGGCCTGCTCCAGGTTTGCTGCGGCCTGTGTGCCCACACCGAACTACACTCCTCTTCCAGTCTAGCACGATATACCTTTCTGATCAACCATCCAGGCTGTCTTGGGCTGGAAATTTCTTTCACTCTGTCTTTTTGTGGATTCTGCTGCTTTAGAATTTGTTTAGAGCCATTTTTTATAGGTATTTGGAGGGGTTTGGGGGACAGCTCAAGCAAGTCACTGCTTTCACTCTGCCATCTTGGCTTCCCCTCCAGAGCCATTTTTTACAGGGTATTTGGAGGGTTTGGGAGAGAGCTCAAGCAAGTCACTGCTTTTACTCCATCATCTTGGCTCCACCTCTCTCAGTGAGTTATTAAAGATGTTGTACTTGAATTTTCTGGGCAAATGCTATATATACCTTTTAGACAGCTGTCTTAAATGATTTTTAGTAGCCCTAATTTGATAGGATTTCAAATCCTGGTCAAGTGGCCAGTAGCCTCTTCGGGTAAAGCATAATAGATCTTGCTTCAACTACTTGTTTTAAGTTGGTATCAGTCTTTATGTTTTAAGTGTATTTATTCTAAATAGCATTTTGTTATATTCTCCTTTCTAATGTATTCTGCTATCCTCTTCTGTGGGTGAATTTATTCCATTCATATGGAGAATAATGATTGTTAATTGTGTATTTCCTCCATCTTATTCTAATATTTTTTCCCAGTCCATAATCCCTGCAACCCCTTTACAAAGAAGAGGTTAGTTAGAGAGCAGGAATATTCTTAGTACCAGGAGTCTATTCTAGATGCATTTTCCTCCCCTCTATACCTTAACCTCTGTCTTTTTCCCCTTGCAAGACTCCAACCATATTTTCTTACTCTTTCTTTTCCTTGCAATTCCCTGTTTATATTCTTTCTTCTAAGGTAAGACTGTTTGCTTCTGACATCTCTCTCTTCCTGAATGTACCCTCCTTCCCATTCTTCCTTTTTCCCTTTTCCCTATTCCCTCGTTTCCTTTTTGAGTTGAATTCTTTCTGTCGAACTCTTTGTATGTTCAATCCTCCTTTGACTGATTTATGTAAATGAGGTTTAAGTGATGCCAGCTCCATCAAGTCCTTCCTTATTTATGTAGTCTTCTACATGCATACCCCTGTTATGTGAGATGTCCCCCTGTCCTTCCCCATTTCTGCTCTAGTGTACTGCTTTTTTCCTTCTATTTTCTTCTTATGAAATCATGAAAACTTAAACATTTCTCAGGGCCTCTGTCTTATTTAACTTTTCATATGAACCCAGATAACATTAGGGTAGGACACTTATATCAGCTACCCCTGTTAGAACATAAATACTGTATTGCTGTTAGTTCCTTCTGATTTACCTTTTAATGTTTTTCTTAACTTTTCTGTTTGCATTTCAAAATTTCTACTCAGTTCTGGTCTTTTCTGACATAATGCTTGAATTTCTGAGAGATTATAGTTAAAGTATTCTCTGCCAAGGCCTAGCTCCATAAAAATATGCCATCATCTCCTTCAGACGTGACCTAACTTGTCATTACTTTGTGGTTAAATCCTAGGCTTTAGGAATTATAGAATTCCAGAGAGACTTATAAATGTTCCAAATTCTGAAATTGTCTGGGAACAACTAGATTATGGTCTTTAATAAGCCATTATCTCTTTAATTTAGTTTTTAATAACTGATCTGAGAAAAAAATATTGAATTTAGTTCTAAGCTGCTCATTCCCCATTGTAGTTTATAAAAATGAAAATTCCAAGAATATTTAGTTATTAATGTTTTTTCCAAGCTGGTCTTTCTGATTCAAGACGCTGTGCTACAACTTATTCTATAATCTGTTACCGTATTAATCTTCTTAAGCACTATTGTAATTTCCCATTCAGGAACCTTCATTGACTCTTGCCTGTTATGCTGAATCTAAACTCTTGTGTCTGGATTTTTTTAACCCATCTTTTTTCCTTGCAATTAATCCAAAAACTTTTTGACTACTTACTGTATGCTAGGTTCTGGGGATTCAAAGACAATAATGAAATAGTCTCTTCTCTCATGTAACAAGCTTCCATTCTATGATAGGTAACAACATGTGCATTTAAGAGTTGTCCTGAGGCTCACAAAATCCTGTGAGGTAGAGGTTCCATTTTATTGATAAGAAAACTGAGCCTGAGGGAGGAAGGTTGAATGATTTGCCCACAGCTAGGAAATATCAGAGGCACTATTCCACTACTACAGGCCTTTATGACTCCAAGTTTGACATTTTATTGGGTATGCTACAATGCTGTCCCCAGTCTGGATTTTTTTAAAAAGACTTCTGACTCCACCCTTATTTCTTCATGTTCAGTTGTTTCAGTCATGTCCAATTCTTTGTGACCCTATTTAGGATTTTCTTGGCAGAAATACTGGAGTAGTTTGCCATTTCCTTCTCCAGCTCATTTTACAGATGAGGAGATTGAGGCAAATGGGGTTAAGTGACTTGTCCAGGGTTACATAGCTAGTAAGTTAGAACCGGAAGACCTAGGATAATATAGGAAACAAATAGATTTTTAATGAAATCATTTTGAAATATACAAAAATTAACAAGTTCATGGAAATGAGATGTTACAAAGGGAAATCTCTGTAAGATGCTTTCCCTCACTGGGCCCAAACTAGTCAGGCAATAAACTACTTTATTGGGTAGAAAAAGGAATTTGTAGAGGTTTATTAATTCTTTCTAAGTCAGGTACCATATTATGCTGTGTTAATTTTATCCTAATTGGTTAAAATTGTTAATGTATTCTAAAAAAGTTGTATTAGTTGGGAGGAAGTTATTGAACAAATCTGACCACACATATAATTAAGGCAAACAAATTAATCTGAATACTTTAGCACAAACCTGCCCTTATTTTGAGAAATTTGAGTTAGTTATTAGGTTTTTTTTTTAAATCTGTGAGATACCAAGAATTAGTTATCTTCCATTATTAATGTATCTAAAACTAAACATTAGAAGGAATGTCATAGTTTCTCTATTGGAAAAGTACATAGTATTCCTTATTGTTAGAAATAAGCAAGTGTAAAATTTCTATTTAGCATGGGAAAACTAGTATTGCAGTTTTGTGAGTAATCATAAATTTGAAATGTGAAGAGTTTTATTGTTAGGGGTGTGTATGTGTGTTTAATTTAATTTTGTAATTATCATTGAGTTTAAGAGGAGAAAAGTGAGAACTTTAAAGAGTAGCAGGAAGTACTTAGTAAAGCACCCAGCATATAGTAGACATTAGACATGGAAGGTAACATAAAGGAGATTGGGATTTGCATTGGGACTTAAAGATTAGTTAGGATTTGGCTAGGTAGAAGAGAATGAAGGAGATATTTGAGGCAGAAGAAATAACATAGGAAAAAGAACATAGGCAAAGTAAAAGTGTATTTAGGGAATAGAAGGTATACCATTTTCCCTGGAGCTAAAAGAGATTTTTAGGTGTTAGAGCTATATAGAACCTCTGTATAGATCTATAGAGCTATAATATATAGGTCATTCCCCCCCAACCCCTTTTCTTTTTAAGATAAGAAAACTGAGAACAGGAGAGGTAATATAGGTAGTAAATAGTAGAGATTGGTTTAAACCTAGCTACTCTTACAAGTCCAGTGCTTTTTTTTTTAGGTTGTTTTTTATTTTTTGTTTAGCATAGCTGAGTGTTGAGTTCCATACTAAGGATTTTTTTATCTTCTAGGCAGAATGGAGACATTGAAGATTTTTGAACAGGAGAAGTGGCATAACTGAAACAATGCTTTAATTTGGTTGTGGTGAATGGATGGGAATAAAAAAAGAATAGCATTTGGGGGAACAACTTGGAAGCTGTTGCTTATCCAAGCATAAAATGAAGGCTTCAGCTGTGATGGTGGCATAGTTCAGTGGAGTAGAGAAATTTTGAGTTTACATTTTCTGATGATAAGGAGATGTGTGAAATTATTTTATTCTTTGAGTCATTTTGAGAACCCTGGAGTAGATAAAGTCTTGGATTTTTTCCAGCTGAGTCCATGATTTTTAAAATATGTTTAAAAAAAAAGTCAGAAAAGCAATGAGGAGAACTATTTCTTTGTAAGTTCAGAGTTCATTGTTTAGTTTTTCTTATGACTCAGAGAAAACATTCATGCTTTTGTATAGATAAAACTTACTTAGAATACCTCGACATATTGTTAATGGATATTTTTCTATACTCTTCATATGTTAATACTTTCTTTTTTTTTCATAACAGGGATCTGAGAAACAATCTTATTAGTACTATAGATCCAGGTGCTTTCTGGGGTCTTTCCTCTCTAAAAAAATTGTAAGTATTTGATTTTATGACATTAATATGAATTTATATAAGTAGCTGTTTTACCACATGGAATAGTATATGAATGTTCCAATAAATGTTAACAAGAGTATTCAGTAGCAGTATTACTGATCTGTGGATTTGGGTTGTGTAATATGAACATCCGTGAAAGATTTTACATTTATTCATTTATCCTGCTCAAAGCTCGCTGGTCAAGATGTAATAGGGAATTTTACTGAGTACTGAACATGAGACTACTTATGTGACTAGTTTTGTTTTTATTTATGTTAACATTAATATAGCCTAATACCATGTTAGGATTTTTTGTGGGGTAGGTAGGAGGATATGTATTTTATAGTATTTACCAACAACTAAAAAATTCTACTTTCTGCTGAATTGCTGCCTTGTTAAATCTATCTTCATTCTTTTATTTGTAGTATTAGTTGTACATTTTTAGCGTTCTGTATATATTATCAACTTCTCAGTTATTTTGTGGTTCTTCCCAATTGCTTAGTCTTGGTAAAATAGCCAAAACAGCTTTGTTTGCTATTTATTTGTGATGACCTGAACATTATTATTTTAATGTCTTTTCATAAATTTAATATAGAATAGTTTTAATAACATAATAGTAGACATATTTTCTTATAATCATTTGATTTATATTTTTTTTACCAGTTGAAGGTTAACTTTGCAGTTTTTTAATAGAATTTGTAGAATGTTGAATTATCCTGAGGAAGAGGGGAAAAAATGGTTTAGGTCCTTTGTGTAGGAAGATTGGCCCACTATTATTGTAATTTAAAATATAATTGGTTCTATAGCCAACAGTTAATTAAAGCCCTTTTCTAGCTCTAAAGTTCTTGCCTGATATATAAGCAGTTAAGTCAGCTGAAAAAGAAATTTAGACTTTATGAGAAAATAGAGTGAAGGTTTTATTATCTAGTACTTTACCAGCCAGAAGACTCTAGAATTTGGTAATCTTAATATCTCTTTCTGTATAACTGGACCTAAAATATTTTGAAAATGGCATAATTAAAATTAGAAATTAAAGTCATCTTTACTGAGTTTTTAGCTAAGCATTTCAAAACACAAGGAAAAACTGGAATATTTAGTCAAAACTTTTTATAGAGTAGCAAAAATTTTGTACATCCATCAAAAGTGACAGATGTATAAAAAAATGATCAGAACTATAGGAAGGTAGAATAGAAGTAGGGTTGCTTAGTAGACTTGGAGTCAGGAAGACTTTGGTTCAGATCTAGCCTTTGACTCCAGCTTTATAAGTTTGGATAAGTCACTCTGGTTTAGCCAATTCAGTGGGGATTCATCTACCCAGTGGTAAGTGATCCCCACACTGGGGAAACTACACAAATCATAAAGATCACATGGGTGGTTAAAAAAATAACAGGAAAGTCTTGTTAAAGTAATTATATTTAGGGGCAGTTAGATGACATAGTGGCTAGAGCACTGGCCCTGGAGTCAGGAGGACCTGAGTTCAGACACTCACTAGTTATGTGACTCTGTGCAAGCCACTTAACCCCAGTTGCCTCACCATAAAGTAAAATTTTAAAAAATATTATATTTAGACAATATAAGAAGCAAATAACTGAAATGCCTTCAGATTACTTAGGAGATAAAATTAGAAATTAATTCAGTTTTTTTGCCACTGTGATCAAAACTGTAGTTTCTTTAAGTTGATAACACACAGGTAGAAAGTAATAAGCTTCAGAATGTTTGATGAAGGGGCCTAAAAGTCCTAATAGCATTTAATAATATGACCACCTCTAACCTCTTTTTCACAGTGGTCACATTTTTTTCAATCACCCTTGATTGTCTGGGTTACCTCTTCCACTTCTCCAGTTAAAAGCTTATTAGCGTAATGACAGGAGTCATCTTTCATTATGTAAGATGCCATTAACAATTTAATCAGGCAACCATTAAGAATTTAATCTAGAAGGAGAACTTCTAGATCTCCCCATTCTAACTTCATGTATGAAGTCAAATGAAAGCTGGAGAGAAGGATAATGAAACTGTGAGGGTGGAGGAAGCGAGTTATACCAAAGTATTATTCAGGAGGAGAGTTAGTTGGTTCACATTCCAGGTCTGATGCTTACCTAGCTATGTGATTTTTGAGCAAGTTGCTTCAACTCTCAGAGAGTTTCCCAAATAGGGTTAAATAAAATAGCAAAACTTCTGTACTACCTTTGTACAGGGTAGTTTTGAGGAATGTGCTTCACTGTCTTTAAACTATTATTTTCAGGTATTCTTTCATCTCTCATTTATATAGATGACTATTGACACTTGGACTTGTGTCTCCTTGTTTCTGACTGTGATGCCCTCCCTCCTCTGTTATACCTCTTTGGATCTCTCTGATTTCTTTTAAGACTGCTCATGTGCCACCTGCTACTCAAAACCTTTCCTTAGCCCCTGGCTACTGGTAACTTCCCTCTCACCTTTTATTCATTTTGTATGTATCATGGTTATACTTTATATCTAAGAAGAGGCAGCTTGGTGAATTGGATAGAGAACAAGTGTCACAGCCATGAGAACCTGAATTTCAAGACCTACCTCTGACACCAACTACCTCTGACACGTCTCTGTGTGACCTTGTGTGAAACACATAGCTACTTGCTGCTCTAGAGTTCTCTCTAAGACTATAAGCTATAAGAAGATTCTGCCCTGTATTGGTAGAGGATGGTTCTTCTTCAGCGAATTACCTGTAGCAATGAAATCACAGGTCTAATCTCTATTACTATCCTTTATCTATATTTATAGGTATATATGCTGTTTCCCAATTTTAATCTCTGGGCAGGCCGGGGTGGGGTTAGGGGCAACTCTTTTGTCTTTGTATCTGTCTCCAGCACTTGACAAAGTGCCTGGCACATAGAAACTGTAATGTTTATTGACTGACTGACCATATTGAAAAGAAAAGTAGTGTACATCTGTGCTTTTTTCTGTAGGAAGGTGAGCGTTAGCCAGGAAACCTAATTGACAAATCTTGTGTTGAACACATACAATGAGAAGAATATACTTTTTTTTTCTTTCTTAGGGATTTGACCAACAACAGAATAGGATGTTTGAATGCAAACATATTTAGAGGACTCACAAACCTTGTTAGATTGTAAGTATACCTTTCGTTTCTCTAAAACATTAAAATGTAATGAAATGTTTTATTGATAAAAGTTTTTTTAAAAAGTATTTATTTTTAGTTTTCAACTTTCACTTCCACAATATTTTGAGTTCCAAATTTTCTCCCCATCTTATCCCTTCCCCCACCCCAAAATGGCATGCATTCTGAATACCCCTTCCCCTAATCTGCTCTCCCTTCTATCTCTGCCTCCCCTTCTCTTATCCCCTTCCCCTTCAATTTTCCTGTAGGGCAGGATGGATTTCTGTACCCCATTGCCTGTATATCTTATTTCCCAGTTGTACGTAAAAACAAATTTTTTTTTTACTTTTGTTTTTTAAAGTTTGGGTTCCAGATTTTCTCCTTTTCTTCCTCTCCACTTACCCTCATTGAGAAGGCAAGCTTTTCAATACAGGTTATACACGTGTAGTCGTGCAAAACACTTCCGTAGTAGTTATGCTGTGGAAAACTAACTATATTTCCCTTAATCCTGTCCTGCCTGCTATTTATTCTATTCTCTCTTTTGACCCTGTCCCTCCTTAGAAGTGTTTGCTTCTGATTACCCCCTCCCCCAATCTGCCCTCCTCTCTATCATCCCCCTGCTCTCTTGACCCCTTTCCGCCTGTTTTCCTGTAGAGTAAGATAGATTTCCATACCCAATTGAGTGTATATGTTATTTCCTCTTTAAGACAAATCCAATGAGAATAAGATTCACTCATTCTCTCTGACCTTCCCCCACTACCCCTCCACTGTAAAAGCCTTTTGTTGTCTGTTTTATGTGAGATAATATCCCATTCTACCTCTCCCTTTTTCCTTTTCCCAGTATAATCCTTTTTCACCTCTTAATTTTATTCTCTAGGTATCACACCTTCATCTTTAACTCACCCTGTGTCCTCTATCTATCTATCTATCTATCTATCTATCTATCTATCTATCTATATACATACATATAATTTTTTCCCTCCAAATACCCTAATACTGACAAAGATCTCATGAGTTAACAAATATCATCTTTCCATGTAGGAATATAAACAACTCAACCTTAGTAAGTCTCTTATGATTTCTCTTTCCTGGTTACTTCTTCATGTTTCTCTTGAGTCTTGTATTTGAAAGTCAAATATTCTGTTCAGCTTTGGTCTTTTCATCAAGAATGCTTGAAAGTCCTCATTTCACTGAATGTCCATTCTTTCCCCTGAATGAAAAATACGCAGTTTTGCTGGGTAGGTGATTCTTGGCTGTAATCCTATCTCCTTTGCCCTCTGGAATATTATATTCTAAGCCTTCCACTCTCTTAACATAGAAGCTGCTAAATCCTGTGTTATCCTGATTGTGTTTCCCCAGTACTTGAATTGTTTCTTTCTGGCTGCTTGCAATATTTTCTCCTTGTCCTGGGAATTTGGCTACAATATTCCTAGGAGTTTTCCTTTGAGGATCTCTTTTAGGAGGTGATTGGTAGATTCTTTCAATTTCTGTTTTACCCTCTAGTTCTAAAATATCAGAATAGTTTTCCTTGGTAATTTCTTGAAAGATGATGTCTGGGCTCTTTTTCTGATCATGAGTTTCAGATAGTCCAATAATTTTTAAGTTATCTCTTCTGAATCTATTTTCTAGGTCAGTTTTTCCAATGAGATATTTCACATTGTCTTCTGTTTTTTCATTCTTTTTGTTTTGTTTTACAATATCTTGATTTTCTCATAAAGTCACTCCATTCTAATTTTTAAGGAAGTATTTTCTTCAGTCAGCTTTTGGACTTCCTTTTCTATTTTGTGAATTCTGCATTTTAAGGCATTTTTCTCCTCATTGGCTTTTTGGACCTCTTTTGCCATTTGGGTTAGGCTATTTTTTAACATGTCATTTTCTTCAGTATTTTTGGCGTTTCCTTTAGCATGCAGTTGATTGTTTTTCTTGCATCACTCTCATTTCTCTTCCCAGTTTTTCCTCTGCTTCTGTTATTTGCTTCTCAAAATTCCTTTTGAGCTCTTCCGTGGCCTGGGACTAATTCATATTTTTCTTAGAAGCTTTGGATGTAGCAGCTTTGGTTTTGTTGTCTTCTTCTGGTTGTATGTTTTGATTTTCTTTGTCACCAAAGTAAGATTCTGTGGTCTGACTCTTTTTGTGCTGCTTGCTTATGATCCCAGCCAGTTACTTGAGTTATCAACTCTTTGTATGGTAAGGGTCTGCTTCCAGTGTGGAGAATGTACTGTCCCAAGCTTCAGGGGTTTTTTGCAGCTGTTTTCAGAGATACTTCTAGGGACCTGTAAGTTTTCAGTTTTCCCAAGGTGGTATGATAAGGGACGAGGTGTTTACTCCTTTCCTGGACTGTGCTCTGGTCTATGAGTGACCACAAGCACTCTTTTCTGCCTTGGAACTGTGAGGAGGATTCTCTCTATACCGCCACTACAAGCTCCACCACACCAGTGCTCCTCACCCCAGGACTGCCACCTAGAACTATGACCCAGATCCAAGCACCAGCAAAGCAAGAGAATCCTGCACCAGCAGAGAGATCCCTGCAATCCCCCTTTGATCAGCCACTTGATTCCCCCTTAGTCTGTGGGCCTGAAGCTCCTGAAGCAGCTGCTGCCCCGGGGCTGTGCGTGAGGACTGTGGCTTGGACCAAGCTTCTCTCTCACAGCAGTCACAGATTTTCCCACTGACTTTCTAAGTTGTTCTTTGGCGTTTGTGGGTTGGAGGTCTGAAAACCACCACAGCTGCCTTTGATTCAGTCCTCTGAGGCCTGCTCCAGGTTCACTGAGGCCTGTTTTACCTGTGTACCCCCACAGAACTGCGTTCCTCTCCCAGCCGGGTGCGATAGACCTTTTTAATCACCCATCCAAGTTGTCTTGGGCTAGAAATTTGTTTCACTTTGTCTTTTGTGGGTTCTGTTGCTCTAGAATTTGTTTAGAGCCATTTTTTTTACAGGTATTTGGAGGGGTTTGGGGGAGAGCTCAAGCAAGTCATTGTTCTTACTCCACTGTCTTGGCTCCCTCCGAGAACATAGTTTTTTTTTTCTTTTCCTTTTGTGAATAAAATATTTCCTTAAACATCACCTATGCACTGTGGGTTACAGTGCAAGGTGACATGGCTGCTGCCCTCCAGAAGGTGGCAATCTAGAATGTGAACTCCTGGAGACAGAGACTGTTTTAACTCTTTTGCTTCTATATACACAAGCTGGCTTCTTGATAGAATATAAACCTTTTAAGAGGAGTCTTTCACACTTTGTTCTTGTGTCTTTAGTACCTGACACATAGTAGGTGCTTAATAAATACTGATCCATTGATTGATTTTCACATTGCCTTCAATTGTGCTTCCTTAATTCAGTGAGACAAAGTACATGGAGGTGCTTTGTCAATTGTAAAAGGCTATGAATTTGCAGCTGTTACTACTATTTCTACTAGTACTAGTATACCTTTGAGTGGCTCAGTGGTTAGAATTCTAGTTTGGAGTCAAGAAGACCCAAGTTCGATTATGGACTCAGATACTTACTAGCTGTATCATCCTGAGCAAGTCACTTAACCTCTTTCTGCTTCAGTTTCTTCATCTGTATAATGAAGATAATAGCAACTACCTTCCAGGTTTGTTGTGAAGATGAAATGAGATAATACTGTAAAACATTTAGTATAGCTCTTGTCACTTAGTAGGTACTTAAGAGCCTCCCTCCCTCCTTTCCTTCCTTCCTTCCCTTTTTTAGTTTAGGAATGAGTTGCTTCTATCAGTTCTATCAATTGTTTAGGAAAATTATGATCTTTTCCACATATTTTTTTAAGATAAAATTAACCATTGGTATTTAGTTTATTGAACAGGTATGTAGCATAAAGATCCATTTTCTTTGACTGTTGTTCTTTTTGTTATTTGTGAGATTAATTGAATTAATTGTATTTGTTTCTTATATACAGTTGGAAATGCTCTCAGTAGAGTTTTTTTTCTACGGTATGCTATATTTTCAATTTTAGCTTTATGACTTTGAAAGAAAAATGTTTTCTTAAATAGGTAACACTCAGATAGGAAATGAGTTTTAAGCATTTCCTGTTTTAATTTTGACTTTGTTATATACTCTGAGTGTTTGATTTATTAATAACTGAAACAGCATGGTGTAGTGGAAGAAGTATAAGATTTGGAATTAGAGGACAATTTTGGGTTTTCCAGTATTGTTGACTTGGGGGTCATTAACATCAAATATCTGGAACTCAGTTTTCTTATCTGCATATCTGCATAATGAGAGAGCTGAATCTCTAAGTTCATTTCCAGCTTAGAAGCTATGACCTTGTGATTCTTGAAGCTCTAAAATCTTTTCCAAAAGGGATAAGAAAGAGCATTGCTAAGGTTATCTGAAGACTGATAGGGAAAAAAAAATCTCATTCAGCAACCTAACAGAAATAAGCAAATGTATTACATTAAGACGGCCAAGATCATAGCCTGTTTTTTTTTTTTACCTACTTTAGCTTCTAGTATATTATGTATCCATAATCAATTTTCTAAAGTTAATGAATAAATGACAAGGTAAAAATTTTTTTTCTCAGCTATAATATTCTGAAATACTTAGAGGCAATTAGTTAATAAATAGTCTAATACATAGCTTATTTAAATCCATAGTAAATAAGTTATTTAAAAGGATCTCTTCCTGTGAAATTAGAGACATAGTTTTATGATACTCACAGAATATTAGCATTGGAACTGGAAAGGGACCTTAAAAGTCATCTAGGCTGGTCCCCTCTTTATTGTTGTTGTTGTTAACTTGTTTCAGTTGTGTTGAACTCTTTTTGGCCCCATTTGGGGTTTTCTTGGCAGAGATACTGGAGTGGTTTGCCATTTCTTTTCCAGCTCATTTTACAGATGAGGAAACAGAGACAAACCGGTTAAGTGACTTATCCAGGGTCACAGAGCTAGTAAGTGTCTGAGGCCAGATTTGAACTTAAGGAGATGAGTCTTCCTGACACCAGGTTCAGAGCTCTGTCTGCTATGCCATCTAGCTACCCCAGATAAGGTAACTGAGACCTTGAGAGATTAAGTGTTTTTCCCAAGGTTATATATGGGTAGTAAATTGAAAAGGCCAGATTAAAATTCAGATCATCTGACTGCAGATATGGTTTGCTTTTCAAGTGTACCACATTGCTGCTCATAATACGAGGATTATATAATTGGCAGTTTTAGGGTAGTTGTGGGGAAATTAAGTTCTGTAAAGGTAGCATATAATATTAAGTAAACATGTTTATTGCAATGAAATGAAATTTCTTTTTGTTTTTTTTCTTGCAGAAATCTTTCAGGAAATTTGTTTTCTTCATTAGCTCAAGGAACTTTTGATTACCTTGGCTCCTTAAGGTCCTTGTGAGTAAATTTTTTTATTCATTAAATTAAAAAATTGAGCCTGTTCAGTCATTCTCAGTTGTGTCTGACCTTTGTGATTTTATTTGGGGTTTTCTTGGCAAAGATACTGGAATGGTTTGCAATTTTCTTTTCCAACTCATTTTATAGAAGAGGAAAGTGAGGCAAACAGGGTTAAGTGACTTGCCCAGGGTCCCACAGCTAGTTAGTTGTCTGAGACTGGATTTTAGTTTAGGTCTTCTTGATCTAGGCCTAGTGTTGTATCCTTGCCCCATTTAGCTACCCTTTTATAATGTTGAAATTTTTCATGAGAAAAAAACTAAATCGTTTTCTAAACCCATTATAGAGTATGTCTTTCCTGTCTACAAATGAAACAAACATTCATACCCTATAAATGATTCCAGGTAAATTTCAAGTTTTGAAAAATATTATTTTCCATATATTATATAAACCAACATATTTTTGATCGTAACATTTTGTAATACTTTTTTCTTTGGCTGTTTTATAAATAAGGAATTTTTCTTTGGTTTTATATGCTTTCCCAACAGTAAACTTTAATTCATAATATCAGTTGTTTGAGGACATTTTGTGCTTTTGGATTTTAATTTTGTTCATCCTAATTGAGTATCCAACTCTTGGAGGTATTTTGTAGAATGCTGCTTTAATACAGCTTCTGCATCAGCTTATGTTTGTACAAGTGTTACAGTAGTTCTCTGGAGCTGCAGCCTATGATGTAATTGAACCAAAATTTTTTTTTCATTCTTCCAAGTACAACTCCAGTAACTCAGACTGGACCAGAATAACTTTTTCTTGTACTTAAAAAAACCAAACACATATAAAAACCACTATTAATAGATTCCAGCCCTATAAAATCAGTATTGCAATTAATTTTCTGTTAAAATTATTTTTCAGTCATTTATTTTCCAAGTTTCATCATGTATTTTATATCTGTTTTTTTCAAAGGGAAATTTCCACATTTGCAGATGAAATTTCCATACTAGAAGAAGAAAAGGTGTTATAAGCACTGATTTTCTTTTTAAAATTCTTTTCCATCGAACATATTTTTATTTAAAAACATTAATTATTGTATATGTGTACATATATATATACATACATATAAGTTGTTTATTCAAATAGCTTCCTGTTATCATAGATGGAATATGTAAGAAATCTTGTAGTGAGTTTCAATAAAGAAATTCTGATGACTAGACTTTTTTTTTTAATTGCTGTCAGTCATTGTCTCCACTAATCTCACCGTAGAAAAGGCATCTAGAAGAAGAACATTCCTTGCAGATCATTTTCTCCAGTTAGAGGGTTTTCTTAAAAATTAAAAGCAAGCAAAGGCTAACATAGTTTTGAAAATGATAGTAGAAGTTTTTTATCTAAAACAGAAAAAAGTTGTCTGAGTTTGAAACCAGTGGCAACAAGATCAGAAGGAAAGGTGGTAGCTGGGGATGGAATGAAAGCTTACTCAGATTAGAATCCTACTTTGATTTTTTATGGTCAGGTTTTAATTGTCCCCTCTTTTCACCTATTTCCTGATCTAGTAATAGTTGGTGTGGTTACTGGTTTCACTTTAGCTTCTGCCAGTATGAAAGCTACTTAAATCGTATGACTTGTTCATACAGCTAAGTGACCAAGTTAAATATTTCCTTATATCCCGATATAAATGTAGCTCTCTAATTTTAAGTTCCTTCATAGGAAGTATGAGAGGGATTTTCTACTTTGTTTTAACATACCAATAGTCGTACTTATGAATTCAGAAGGCTTCATGGATAAATAGAATAGAAAATGAAAGATCATTTGCACTGATAAAACAGAAAAAAGGAGCTTTAAAAAAAAGATAATAAAATTAACAAACCCTCATCAAATTTAGTCCCAAAAAAGGGAGAATGAAAGAGAGAACAACCAAACTACTAATTGTTCATAACAAAAACAAAAGAAATTCTGAATGTTATTAGGGAATTTTATATAGAACTTTAAAAAAAATGTTAGAGAATTTAAAGAAAATAGATTTTTTTTTCCTTATGGACTGAACCTGTGATTTTATTGGCATATGGAACTCTCAGAGAGAGAATTCCCTTTGCAAATGCAGATCGGTACTTATACTGCAACTTAACTTCTTGGTACCCTAGGCAGCTGTCTAAGAGTAAATGACTTTCCCATAGTCACAGAGCCAATATATGCCAAGAGATGAACCCAGGTCTTCAGACTCTGAGGCAAGCAGGCTGCTGTTTGTATAAATTGAGAAAAATTATACAGCACAAAATCATTCACTTAAATGGACTCTTATCAGAATAAGAAATGATCAGTCGTTAACAATTTACCCTGAGAAAAGAACACCTGGTCCAGAGGGATTGATGACTATATTCTCTCAAACTTTACATGAATAAATGACTATATTAATTAGATTATTCATAAATATGGAGAAATATGAAATATTATACAGTACCTTTTAGGAATTAAATATGATGTTGATTTTCAGGTCTGGTAAAAATGTCACTAAGTGGGGCAGCTATGTAGTACAGTGGATAAAGCTCCGGCCTTGAAGTCAGGAGGACCTGAGTTCAAATCTGATCTCAGACACATGACACTTACTAGCTGTGTGACCCTGGGCAAGTCACTTAACCCCGATTACCTCACTAAAAAAAAGTCACTAAGAAAGGAAAAATATAGACCAAGTTTCCTAATGAGTATGGATGTAAAATTATCAAATATTAATAGAATATAGTAATATATTACAATGATGATTCCTTATGACTAAGCACAGGGTTTATATTAGTCATGGGAGACTGGTTCAATATCAGAAAAACAGCATGATAAAGCAAAAAGGAAAAGCAAGAAATATTGTGTGTGTATGTTTGATATTGGTTCAGGGAGGAGGGATTTACAAAATAACTATAAGCATGCTTCCTTCCATAACACACCATATGATCTAGTTAGTGAGAAAAAACACATGACGTATTAATATAAGTAGCATATTTTTGATTGCCAAAATTAGTAGTATCCACCATAAATTGTCTTGATGTTCAGAGATGAGAGAGATCAGTGCCAGTTACCAACAAGCATTTATTAAGCATGTACTATGTGTCAAACACTATGCTATATGCTGGGTTATATAAGTAGGAAGAATGAAACAATTTCTATGGCCAAAATAATTGGAAAAAGTCTTTAAAGAGGTTCCACTGAGTGGGCATCTGAAGGCCAAATAGGCAAGCCTTGGGAAGACCTCAGTGAGAGATAAAGAACAAATAATATTTTCATGTTAATAACAATACAATTTAATAATTTTCAGTAATTGTGACATATCTTGCATATTTTAGAGAATTTCAAACTGAGTACCTTTTGTGTGATTGCAATATATTGTGGATGCATCGATGGGTAAAAGAGAGAAATATCACTGTACGTGAAACCAGATGTGCTTACCCTAAATCACTTCAGGCTCAGCCAGTTACGGGCATTAAACAGGAGCTGTTGACTTGTGGTAAGGGAAAAATAAAATAAACGCTATTAAATTCTTATATTTTGGGTTTCCATAAGATATTAATTCTGGGCATTTTGTTTGATTTGTTTTGTATCCTTTTGCTGTGCATGAACTTTTCTAGGAATACTTAAAAACAACAAAATTCATCCTGTTATCAATTAAGGTACTTAAACTAGAAATGTTCCATTAATGGTTTTTTTGCCTAAAGGGAGCTTTTCACCCAAATCTTAATCTAGTTTCATCTTAACAGTTTCTTGTTTAGTGAAAACTAATTTAAAATTATAGTGTATTATCTAATGTTTTCTATCGGCAATAATACCTAATGAATAGTAATGTGATTTTAAAGTAACGCAATATGTAACTTTCATGTCAGCTAATTATTCAGTTTCTTTAAGTATTAATTAGAATGTAGCTGGTAGAACACTACTGTAATTTAATAGAGGAGACTTAAGGTTTCCTTACGTGATATCTACTCTAGAGTCAACTCTAAAGGTGACAGCTCAGTATGGAACATCTTTTTCTTTGAAATTTACTCAACTCTGTTTTCAGTTATCATATGAACTTATTCAACAGTGGATTTACTGATATTGTCATTATATTGGTGATATGTTTTTATATTTCATTTGTTTAATATTTCTGTAATAGTTCAGTTTAGTTTGTGTTTGTAGCACTATTAGCTTACTACATTTTCCCCTGAAATGATTCTAGATCCTCCTCTTGAATTACCATCTTTCTACATGACTCCATCTCATCGTCAAGTTGTTTTTGAAGGGGATAGCCTTCCCTTTCAATGTATGGCTTCTTATATTGATCAGGACATGCAGGTATTGTGGTACCAGGATGGAAGAATAGTTGAAACTAATGAATCTCAAGGTATCTTTGTTGAAAAGAACATGATTCACAACTGCTCATTGATTGCAAGGTAAATTTTTTTTTAAGGAAAGCATTTTTTTTGCAGATTATATTTATAATTTTGGCTTATATTGTTGGAATTTCAACTTGTGCTTTTTCTTAACCAGTTTAGAACTTTAAAAAATATATTTATTACTTGTTCTGTTATTTGTCAATGTCATGTTAAATAGTTGTATCTGATCTCTTTCCTAAAAAGGAGCATTTTTCCAAATGTTTAATATTTTTTTTTACTAGGTTAAATTTTCTAGGAATTGGTGTTTTTTAACTCCACATCCAGTTTTTAAATCTATTTACTACTGCTAGATTTTTATTTCCTGCTTTTGGGACCTCTTGTCATTTTAAGCATTCAGACTTGAGGAAAATATAACTTCTTAATCTCAAGATGAATTAGGAAATGGGACACTTAGAAACAAAAGGCATTTGTCTACTTAAGAAATGACCAGTCTTCTCTCATTCTAACTGTAATATTTTAAAAGTATGTAGTGGCTAATTCTTCAGAGTATTGTGTGAAGCCTTCTATAAGAACGCAGCAAATAATCAGTCACATTTGTATAGGCGCACAGTATTACCTGTTGCATTTATGCATGCATGCTTAGCTATTCAAATCTTGATAAACCTCCACCTTTACTTTGTGACCCCTTTCACTTTATGTTACTTTGAATGTACTAATTCTGCACATGGCACCCTAAAGGGATGATAATTATGTCAGTATTCAGTTGATTCATATTATAGAGACTAGACATAAATAAGGTAAGTGTCAGATACCAGGGACCTTAGGCCTACATTCATTATTCATCCAGAATCCTTAAATCATAGATATAAAACTGCATGTTAGAGTTAACTTTGTACTGTTTTGATAAAAATCAGATTAATACTGCATAAATAAATCTAGTAGTTGCAACCTGGATTGGACCTTTGGCTTTGGTAGCTTTCTTTCTGTGTGTGTGTATTTCATTGTTTTCCCTTCTTTTGGGGGGGATAGTATTTTATTTTTTTCTGATTACATGTAAAGAGAGTTTTCAACATTCATTTTTTATTTTTATAAAATTTTGAGTTCCAAGTTTTTTCTCCCACCTGTACTTCCTCCCCAAGACAGCAAGAAGTCTGATATAGATTATATATGTGCAGACATGTAAAAATATTTCCATATTAATCATGTTGTGAAAGAAGAAACAGAACAAAAGGGAAAAGCCATGAGAAATAAAAAAAAAGTGATTTTGCAATTGATGGACATCCCCTCAATTTCTAATGCTTTGCCACCACTGAAATTGCTGCTATAAATATTTTTGTACGTGGAGGTCCTTTTCACTTTTTTATAATCTCTTTGGAATACAAACCTAGTAGTGGTATTGCTGTATCAAAGAGTGTGCACAATTTTTTAGCCCTTTGGACATAGTTCAAAATTGTTCTCCAGAATGGCTGAATCAGCTCACAACTCCACCAACAATGCTTTAGTGTCCCAGTGTTTCCACATCTCTAGCATTTATCATGTTTTGTTTCCCAGCTTTCTGCTTTCCTTCTAATCTTGGTTGCGTTGGTTTTGTTTGTGCAAAAACTTTTAAATTTAATATAATCAGAATTTTCAGTTTTTCAATTTTTTATTATCATAAATTCTTCCATTTTCCATAAATCTGACAGGAAAACTATTCCTTGCTCTCCTAATCTCCAGTGCATGTGGTGGTTCTCTGAGTTGGAGTCTTTCCAGTTAACCCTGGCTGTGCTAAGGCATGTGAGGGAGTGCTGGTGTTGGCGTTTGCCTACTCCGTTGTTCTGGGGCTCAGGATCTCTTGCTGATTTGCTGAGCTGGAGCCTGCTGCCCGCTAGCTGGGATGCCTCCTGTCCTGGACTGTGCTCTCTTTTTATCCAACTGATGCAGACCTTTTTTTGCTGATTCTGTAAGTCTCCCAGACCAAAAGACTGTTTCACCCCATCTTTCCACTGATCCAGTGTTCCAGGATCCATTCTGGGGAGCTGTTTTATGGGTCTTTGGTGATGAGAATGGGAGAGGGACAGCAGTCTCCTGCTTACTCTACCATCTTGGCTCCTGGAAGTACAATTTATTTTTTTAAGGAGTTATTTTCTTCAGTCAGTTTTTATGCTTTTTTTCCCACGCTGTTGACTCTTTTTTCGTAATTCTCTCATTTCTTTACCCAATTTTTGTTCTACCTCTCTTACTTGATTTTTAAAATCCTTTTGAGCTCTTCCAAGAGAACTTTTTGGGCTTGAGGCCAATTCATATTCTGTTCCCCTTTGGGGCTATGCATGTGGGCATTTTGGCATTGCTGTCCTTTTCTGAGTTTGTGTTTGGATATTCCCTGTTACCATAGTAGCCTTCTATGGTCAGGGCTGTTTTCTGTTTTTTGCTCACTTTTAAAAGTTGAGCTCTCATTCTTGGGTACAGAAGGCATTGTTCCAAGTTTCTTTCACTGGGGGTTAGGGGGCCTGGTCACTGGCTTTCTTTACCAGGGCTTCTGGGGCTGGCAGCTTTCCCATTGATTGCACTTGGCCTTATCTAGTCATGACTGTTGTGCCCTGGGTTCCAGGGCTGGCAGTTTGCCTACTGTGCTGAGGCTAGAGGCCTCACATCTGGCCTTCTATACCTCTACTGCTGAGCCAGGACTATGGGGTCTCAGGTGCTGATCTGTGCTGTGGCTAAGAGCCTTCAGCTGGCTTGTTTGGACACTGCCTGTGCTGGGCTCTGCTCCCCTTTTGTATCAGTGAGGCAGATCTTTCCTGAAGTTCTTCTAAGTTATCTTTGGCTGAAAAAGTGTTTTACTCTGTCTTTTTGTAGGTCCTATTGCTTCAGAATTCTTTTAGAGGCTTTAATTATTTCTGAGGAAAACTGGGGAAAACTAGACAACTTTCTGGTTTTTCTCTGCCATCTTGGCTATACCATTTTTTTTCCCATTTGATAACTTTCTAAGCTCCTGAAATGTGGACATTCGTTTCATTGACTTTATTAATGAGCAATAGGCAGCAATATCAATCATTACTTTATTCTGGGTACAACATATTTAGATAGCCTTCATCTGAATTTCAAGTCTTTCATCCCCTTATTCTTCAATATGAAGTATATAAGGAATGCTAGGTATCTAAAAAAGGAGTAAGCTTATTTTATTTTTTAATGAACTGAAGTCTGGAAAAGTATATTTTTAGGTATAAACATATACTAGGCCTGATGTAGTCAGTTGATACCAGTTGATAGGATAAGGTTTAAGGCAAGCAGAGATTAATTAGGCTGTCATCCACTTGGTGGTGTATCTATAGTTCAGTACCTTAGATAGTTCCACAGGTTTAAAGTTGCTTTGCTAGAGTCTATTTGATTTTTAGCAATTAGTCAATCATTAAACATTTATTAAGTGCCTGCTATGTGCCAGGCTAAGTCTGGGGCTACTAAAAGAGAGAGAAGACCCTGCATGCCACAATACACGAGGTAATGAAAGCCTACACTAGGGTGGTGGCAGTGTCAGAAGAAAGGTGTGTATTTGAGAGATGTTGCAAAGATGAAGTCTTCAGGCCTTGGCAACAGCTTGGATATGGGGTGGGGTGAGAGATAGTGAGGAATTCAGGGTGATTTCTAAGTTGTGAGTATGAGGGACTGGCAGGGTGATTTTGTCCTCTACCGTAATAGGGAAGGTAGGATGGAGGAGCATTTGGGGGAAAGTTTTTAAGTTCTGTTTTGGACATAATGAGTTTAGATGTCTACTGGGCATCCACTTTGAAATGTCTGAAAGGCAGTTGGAAATGTGAGATTGAAGGTCAGCAGGGATACTGGGACAAGAAAGGTAGATTTGAGAATTATCAATGTAGAGATGGTAATTAAATCCATGGGAGCTGATAAGATCACTAAGTGAAATAGTATACAAGGGGAAGAGAAGAGTGCCCAGAACAGAACTTTGAAGAATACCTATTGTTAGAGGACATGATCAAGAGGAGGATCTAGAGAAGGAGGAGTCAGATAGGCAGGAGGAAAATCAGGAGAGAGTGGTATCCTTAAAATCCAGAGAGAAGAGAGTATCAGGGAGGAGTGATCACTGCAGAAAGGTTAAGAATGAGGGAAGGTCATTGGATTTTGCAACTAAGAGATCATTAGTAACTTTGGAGAGAATAGTTTTGGTGAAATGATAGGGTTAGGAACCAGATTATGAGATTGTAAGAAGAGAGAGAGAGGAGAGAAAGTGGAGGCATCTATTGTAGATAACTTTTTTGAGGAGGATAGATACAAAAAGCAAAAGAGGTATAGGATGGTAATGGAGTTGGCAGGATTAAATGAGGGTTTTTTCAGGATAGAAGAGACAGAGGCATGTTTGTAGGCAGTAGGGAGGGAGAAATTGAAAATAAATGAAAGAGTGAGGATGACAGAGGGGGCAGTCTGTTGGAAGAGATGGGATGGAATGAGATCATTTGAACAAGTAGAGGGTTTACCCTTGATAAAGGAGTAAGGCCACTTCATCATGAGAAATGGGTAGAGAAAAACAGATGGAGGAGAGGAGGGTTGCAGAAGTACTTGAGTGATAAGAGATGGGGAAGAGGAGAGACAATGGAGTTCATAGCAAATGGCTTCAATTTTTTCTATAAAAGATGAGGCAGATTTCTCACCTGAGAGAGTGGGGGGGAGGGGAACCATAGCAAGTTTGAATTGGGATGAAAAGACTTGGAAGAGTTGTTGTGGAGAGTGGGATAGTGAGTTGATAACGGAGATAGTGTTGTCCACTAGCACTGAGGGCCCATTTGAGATTGTGTAACATAAACTGGTTGTGGATCTATCAGAATGGTTGCATGATTTTGTCCACCTTTATTCAGTAGCACCTATGTAGGAATGAAGGCAGCAAATGATGGGAGTGATCCAAAGTTGAAGCTTAGCAACACAGTTGGTGAAATAAGGGGGCTAAGGCTTCAAGAAAGGAAAATAGTAAGGAATAGAGTTGGTTCACCAAGGGATCAAAAATGAGGAGAAAGTAGATAATGCAGGGGATATGGCCTGGAAGAGAATTGAGGGATCAAGGAATTGGAGGTCAACAGTACAAATGAAGAATAGGGTAATGTAAGGGAAGGCAGGGGGAGGGATGAAATGCCAGTAGATTATGGTTAGATAAGGGGTTTTTAGATTTTTGAACAGAAAGGTGGAACATTTGTGGATGATGGCAAGATCAGGAGTATGACCATCTTTATATGTGACAAGAGCTTTCTGATTGATAAGGTGTTTTTTTTTTCTTATTTGTATTCTTTTCTTCTTTATTTGTATAAAATGCTGAATAGAATAATCATACCCTGACTGGGAAAAACGGTAGTTTAGGGTTTAAACAAGTCTTTCTGTCCTGAAGCATCTATTTTGAAGGCTTGGGACTAGCAGCTTTAGCCCCAGCATCTTTGGGTTTGGACTCAGCAGGCTTATCAGACTTGGCTGCCTTGGAATCAGACTTGGTGACCTTGGCATCAGCTTTGCTGGATTTGGGGCCAGATTTGGTAGCCTTGGGATTAGACTTACTGACCTTGGCGGCAGACTTGGCAGCCTTGGGGTCAGTGGGCTTGGTAGCCTTGAGGTCAGTAGACTTGGCAGCCTTGTGGTCGGTGTTCTTGCAGCCTTGGGGTCAGGCTTTGTGATCATGGGACCTGGTCGTTTGATGCCAACTCTAGGGCTTGGATGCTTGGTGGCCATCTTATGGCCAGCATGCTGGGCACTGGCCTTGAGGATCTTGGGCCTGAGGAGCTTGGCCTTGGAGGCCTTGGTGCTCTGGGCCTTGATGGCCTCTCCCCGTGCCTTGATGGCTTTGGTGTTGTTGGCCTGCATCTTTTTCAGCCCCTTTTTGTGTTTCTTGGCAAAGCGCATGTTTCTCAGAAACTTGGGGTCAACTCCTTTCAGAGACTCATATCTCTGTAACCTAGGTTTCTTGATGCCATTTCTGTGCCATTTTCATGATTGATTATGGGTGGTATGGTTCTTAGACTTAGCCATCTTTACACGCAGCCTGTGCTAACAGGCACTCCACCGACCGGAAGAGCCTGGTAAGGTTTGTAATAGGCTAATACATTCTTTTGGATTTAGGAATCATAATTTATTGCCCCAACATCTTTGATATCTTTGTATGAGTACTTAAGTGTAAGTATACATGCTCCACAGGAGTGTATGTGTCCTTAGAAGTTCTAGCAGGTTATCCAGATGGAATTTCAGACTCCTTTTTGTTTGTTAGTTTGACCATTTAATATTTATTTTCTCCTAATTCAGAGTTCTGCTAATATTCTAGAGGCTGTTTCTTCCAGGATAACTTTGTCTGCAATTAGGTTAAGTTGCTACCAAATAAATACTGTTTTTTTGACCAGAACTTTATAGTTGGAACATTTATAGTAGTTGATAGAGGAAGTGGCATAGTTTTCTATTTAGTTGTACTTTTTTCCTTAAAAAAAACAGAACTCTGAGGGGATGTGGAAAAATCAGGACACTAATTCACTGTTGGTGGAATTGTGAACTGATCCAACATTTTGGAGAACAATTTGGAATTATGCCTTTTGGCAGTACCACTATTAGGTCTCTTTCCCAAGGTGATCAGGGGAAAAAAGGAAAAGAAACTATATATTCTAAAATATTTATAGCGACTCTCTTTGTGGTAGCAAAGAACTGGAAATTGAAGGATACTCATCAATTGGGGAATGTCTGAATAAGTTGTGGTATATGATTGTGTGGAATATTACTGTTCTGTAAGAAATGGCAAGCACGTTGATTTTAGAAAAACCTGTAAAGACATGCATGAAATAATGCAGAGTGAAATGAGCAGAACCAAGAGAATATTGTATATAGTAATAGCAATACTGTGAATGACTAAGCTATGCTGAGTATATGAATGTTCATATCAATTGTGAAGGGCTTATGAAGGAAAATGCTATCCACCTCCAGAGAAAGACTGATATATGGAAGTATGTATTATATGGTTCTACTATATATAGCTATATGAAATGTTGGCTGTCTCTCATATGGAGTTGGGAGGGGGCAGGGAGACAACTTGGAATTAAAAATGTAACAAAAAATACAAAAAATTTAAAAAACAACTTTAATAAGCAGATAAACATAAATCCTACCTTCTGTCAAGGCTGATGTTACATAAATTAATAAGATAAATTAGAGCCAGATATTAAAAAATATGAATAGCTAACTACAATCTTGTAAAGTACTTTTAGTAGTCACTTTTGGAAATGCTAATTACAGATATTAGATTTGGAATTAATACCTATTAAATTCCGCCTACTATTGATAAAGTCCTTTTACAAAAATATGTGAAAATTATTTTACTTTTGTATATTGTTTGGATTTCTAATGGCAGCTCTGAATGCTAGCTGCTTACTTTGGCATACATGCTTTACTTTGGCATACATATATAATTGCCTTGTGACACAATTAAAGGTTAACATACTGGTGGAGGCTTATGTTGTATCTTGAGTAGTGTAGACTCACAGAGTACCTTAAACCTGTGGTAGTAGTCATTCTCTGTGAGATCCAGCCCTCCAGTTTTATTTAGTTTGGGGTAGCTCAGAGAGGGTACTACAATTATATACACTTTTCACTGTGGTTAATGTACCAATTTGTTTGGTTTAATTATTTCCTTTGTTGCAAGGGAGGACTCTGAGTATGTATGTAGGTTCTTAATTGGGAAGTGACAGTGATGGGCAAAAAAAATGAGACTAGAAAATATTTAATATGTAAAAAGTAATCAAAAGAAATAGGCATTTTAGTAGTTTAAGATTAATTGGTAAGATTTTTAGGAAAACTTTCTGTTTCCTCAGAGTACTTTTTTTTCTTCCTCCCTTTTCTTGGTGTGTAGGTATAACTTAAAGCAAAAATTATTTTTCTGCTTTTGTTTCACAACTGAGTTTTTTTCCCTTAGCTTTTTTGAGCAAAATATATAGCATTTCATAGAACTTACTTTTTTAATGACTTTGTTGACAGTAACTAATGATATTTTGTGTGTGTGTGTGTATGTGTGTGTGTGTGTGTCCTTAATTTCTCTCTACAGTGCCTTAACTATTTCAAACATTCAGGCAGGATCCACTGGAAACTGGGGCTGTCATGTGCAAACTCGACGTGGAAACAACACCAGAACGGTTGACATTGTGGTATTAGAAAGCTCTGCCCAGTACTGTCCTCCAGAGAGGATAATAAACAATAAAGGTGATTTCAGGTTAGTCATGATGAAATCATTAAGATATTATGATTTGCTCTTAATCTGCCCTACCTTGAGTGTTAATTTAAAGTTACTTTCTCTGTTGTTTTCATTATTTTGAGTTGTTAAAGGTCAATTATCCAGTATTTTAATATATTTAAGGAAATAAAGCTATTTCCTATTAAAGCAGTCATTTATCATTGTTGGATTATTGTATTTTGAAACTATAATTTGAAATAACACATTGCTTATATAAATTGTTTCAGTATTATAAATAAATTTGTTTGGCCAGAGGAAGTTAAGATATTATGTAAACTTAGAGTCTGTTTTGGGTTATATTTTAGGACTACTGTACTTTAGCAATAATGGTATTGTACTTTATGACAACTTAGTGACTGTATATTTCCTGAAGTCATAAGAAGCCCAAGCCCATTATATGAATAACTCATATTTCTTTTTAAAAATATTTTATTTTTCCCCAATTACATGTTAAAACAATTTTTACTTTTTTTTTTTTGAGTTTTGAGTTCCAAATTCTATTCCTCCCTCCCTTCTTTCCCCCTTCCCTGAGATGGTAAGCTACTTGATAAAGTTTATACGTGTGCAATCATGTAAAAAAATTCCATATTAGTCATTTTGTACAAGAAGACACAAACAAACAAAAAGAATGAAAGAAAAGTAGTATGCTTCAGTCTGTATTCAGACACTATCAGTTCTTTCTCTGGGAGATGGGTAACATTTTTTATCATAAGTCGTTCAGAATTGTCTTGGATCATTAGGTATTTGCTGAGATAAGCCATGTTATTCACAGTTCTTCATCATAGAATATTGCTGTTACTGCGTACAGTGATCTCCTGGTTCTACTTACTTCACTTTGCATCATTTCATGTGAGTCTTTCTAGATTTTTCTGAAATCATCCTGCTTGTCATTTCTTATATTACAATAATATTCCATCACAGTCATATACCACGACTTGTTTAGTCATTCCTGAATTGATGGGCATCTCCTCAGTTTCCAATTCTTTGCCACCAGAATAGAGCTGCTATTAATATTTTTGTACAAATAGGTCCTTTTCCCTTTTTGATGATCTCTTTAGGATACAGACCTAGTAGTGGAATTGCTGGATCAAAGGGTGTGCACAGTTTTATAACCCTTTGGGCATAGTTCCAAATTGCTGTCCAGAATGGTTGGATCTGTTATTTCTTAATATAATGCTAAAGCCAGTTTGATAAATTGTTGTTTCTAACCTTGTTTTTTCTCTCTTCCTACTGCGTAGTATAAGTCCTGATAACTCCCCATCTGGACTATTACAGTAGCTTTCTAACAGATCTTCCAACCTACATTTATTCCCCCTAGCATCACTCCTAAATCAGTCCTTCACATCAGAACCTGGTGTTTGTTGTCTTTGAATAAAATTCATATTTCTTTGTATGGTATTAAAGGCCATCCACAACCTGATTTCTAGCCATATGTCATAGTGCTTATGCTTCAGGCAAATTAGATTATTTACTGTCCCCAGCCACACTCCACATTTTTCTACTACTGTGGCTTTGTTCTCTAGATTCCTTGTGACTGGAAATACTCCATTCCCCTGTCACTGTTGTGTTTCTGTCCTTTGTCCCCTGAGCTAAAAAAAATACCTTTCTCCCCAATACACCATGTAATATACATATGTGGCTATGTATCTGTATGTATATATGTGATTTCTTATAAAATTATATGATAGTTATAATGTAATATGTAATATATGGTATAAAATATTATATAATATATTCTTCCATTTGTTTATTTTTAATTTATGGAATAAAACAAACATTTCTTTAATGTAGTACAAAAAAAGATGATTGCACATGAAACTGCAATCTACTATGTACAACTTTCTGTTCCTTTTAAATATATAAAAAAGTTTTCATGTAAATTTCTTTACATATATTCTTTAGAGCATTAATGCTTACAGTGTACTATTATACATAGTGTTAATAGTATTTTCTGTATATATCTGATGAGATAGACTATTTACTTGTCAAGGCTAAGCCCTCTTTCTGCATGTTCATTTGATCCCATTCCCTTCTGACTTCAGCATATTTACCTCTCAGTCATTGCTTCTCTCTCTTTAATTGTCAGCCTCTCCTTTTCTGATAATTCCTTCTCTTTTGCCTCCACATATGCTCAGGTCTCCATCTCCTATCCTTAAAAAGTCTTCCACTAGACCAAAACATCGGCTCAACTTAGCCTCCTGTCATGATCTTCCTTTCTTAGCCAAATTTAGACTTTTGGAAAAAGCTTTTTATGTCTATTTCCTTTGCTCCCACTCAGTCCTTTGTAATCAAGCAAGCAGTTGTTGATTGAATAGCCATTCAATATTAATGGCTGTTGGAAGCATTTTTGTTATTCATAGCTTTTCCACCTAGCCTTTTGGCTAATTTTGAACTTTAGTGTTCTGACACTATCCTTATAGGAACGTTCCTTGCTTTTGTAGTCATGCTGCATTACCTGCGTTTTCTTCTATCTTTAGTCTTTTTCTTTTTCATATCTAAGTTGATTAAATTCCCTGTGTTTCCAAACTGGTCTCTTTAGATAATTTCTTTCCTTCTCATTAGAACTGATTCATTTTGTGTTTTCAGAATATGATTCATGAGTGTCCCATTTTTTGTAGGTTTAATTTCCTTGTAGGATTTTAGAACATTGTATCCTACCTATGCTTTCTTTGAATTTCTCAATCCCAGAACTTAGAGCTATGTTAGTCTTAGCATTCTTTTCTCAATTGTGTCATGAATTCTCAGATAGAACGTAAGCTGCTCCTACTCTGTGGATTCCATCTTACTTCAGCAACTAGCTTCTCCTTGTTAGTCAAAATAAGATCTAGAATAGCAATTTCCTTTCTCATTTGTTCATGCTTTAAAGTATGTAGTTAAAAATGTAAACCTGGGCTATATTAGTTTTTCTTCTTTTGATTAATGAGGAATAGTCTTGAACAACTTCAATTTGATTTTCCTTTGTAGATGAAAGACTCTCTTGAACTGTATACATATTTTTTGTTTGAAGTTGATGAAGTGTGACTTGTTTTTTAATAGGTTAAATTTGTTTCTGATTTCCTATTATCTTGATCTGTAACTTGCCCTCCATTTCTAAGGAGTTTTGGAAGTTATCTTAGGTATTAGATCATTTAATTTTAGCAAGTCCTTCTGGGAGGCTTGTAATCCAACATTGTCTCTTCAGATTAATTTACCATGAGTGGGATTCTTCCAGTGTTGCTGTCTTTTGATTCTGTTCTGACAAATGTATCTTTTTTTATGTTTGAGTTATAAAATCAGCATTTCTCATATCTAGAGTAGCAATTGTTTTAGAGAGTTTTCTGTCATAAGATCTAAATTGTCTACTTACCTGGCTTAAACTTAAAAAAAATTTCATTTTTGGTATTCTAGCCATCGTTATTTTTAAATTTGATTCTCTCTTGGGAATCATTCTGGTGTTTCTTTCTATTTCTTTGCATTTTTCTTTCTTTTTTCTTTTTCTTTTCTTTTTTTTTGGTTGGAGTTATCCTGTTGGTATTGCTTTCTTCAGGAATTTTTGAGGCACTGTTCTTCACCATATAATATTTATTCATTACGTTTTAGTCTTTTCTAAAGATTGTCGCTCATTTTCCTGTCTTTTATCAGTTTCACTGCTGACTGATTTGAATTGGGGCTGGACCTTTACCCAACCTTTCACTTTTCCTTATTGCCAACAGCCACTTCTATTCCAGATATCATTGTAGCCCTCTACTGCTGGATTCCCTCACCCCAACCACCACTACTGCATGCTTTCTCATATCAATGCTATTAGCAATGGGAAACTTTACTAAGTGTACTACTATGTGTCTTCTTGTTGGTATTGGGATTACCTGTTTTTTTTTAATATCTACTTTTATTTAATATCTTTTACGTTAATCTTGACTTCTGGACTAGATATAGCCTATCCAAAGTATTCTGGGCCAGACTTGAATCAGGCTGGTTGGATGGTTTAGGCTTTGGACAAAATGTGGCATTCATAGACTGTCTAACACTTAGCAATAGCATGGTAAGGATACTCAGTATAACGCTGGTTCAGAGAAGCAACATACTTTGTCTGTATGGAAATGTGCCTAGTCAGAAGGAAGGGATATTGACTAGCATAGCAGTCTGCGGGACACTAACTCCTCGTGGGCTTGCCCTTTTATGCTTTAGATGACTTGGGAAGCTGTGTGAAAAGCTTGGATCCTCTTACCACAGACCAATCAATTTGTAGGGACAGCTTTTAGGGAAAAACTAACTCAGTCTATGTGGAAGGGACCCTGTTTGATGGTATTCCCATCACCCAGAGCAGGTTCAAAGTAATTTCTAAATTATCTTAGTTAATACTTTGTTATTTGTCAAATATTTTTTTCTTTTCTAGTAATAAACACAGTCTGTATGGATTTGCCATCTTTTTCTTCTCACTTAGCCAACAGAACATTAGCATTTTGCCTCCCCAGAATAATAAATTATATTTGTTGTCTAATTTAATTCATGAAATATCTATGAAACTGCTACTATGTGCAAGATGCTATACTAGGCACTGATGACATAGATATATATGACATTGGCCCTGTTTTCAAAGCAGTTAGTCACTTGCCCATAGTTACATAGCTCCACACAAACTACAGATTTGATTCTGGTTCTTTCTCTATCCAACTCAATATGTTGCCTGTCATGATAATTATATGTTCCACTTAATTTCATTTATTGCATTGCTGTCTAACAAAAAAAATATTTTTTCTGGATAATTATCTTAAACTTTCTTTTTTGTCAGCAGAAACTTTAGAAATTCTGTTGTAGCTGGTGATAGTGGTGTTTACCTCTAACGTCAGTTTCTTGGGAAACTCAGGCTCATGGATTGCTTGAGCTGAGGAGTTCTGAGTTGCAGTGGGCTTAGGCTATTGGGTATCTGTCCTAAGTCCAGCATTATTATGTTGAATGTCTGGATGGGGCATAGGGGGATCATGTTACACGCTAAAGGGGAAGGGCAAAGTGGCTCAGGTTGGAAATAGAAGGTTAAAGCTCCTATGCTATTTAGAGTCATTGAGCCTGTGAGTGCCAGTACACTTCCAGCCTGGGGGGGGAGAGGCTTTACTTCCTTCTCCGCTACTAAATCCCCATCTATTCTTTTTGGTTAGAATTCATTCTATTTAGAAATTTTAAAATAAGTGTAACATATAGCTTGAGAAGAAGTGTTTCTTATATTTAGCTCTAAAATGGCTTTTATTCATTGTCCTAGTGCTTGATTTTCTTTATCTCTACCCTTGTTATGTAAATTTCTTTTAATCCTTTGCCTTCAAATCTCCAGGTGGCCTAGAACATTGGCAGGCATTACTGCCTACCTACTGTGTACTCGTAACACTCCTGGCAGTAGTATTTATCCTGGAAACCCACAGGACGAGAGAAAAGCTTGGCGCAGATGTGACAGAGGGGGCTTTTGGGCCGAAGATGACTATTCCCGATGCCAGTATGCAAATGATGTCACCCGAGTTTTGTATATGTTTAATCAGGTAACTGATGTATTTTTCATTAAAGTTTATGGAGCATTTTCATCAGATCCAAGTAAATAAGAATTTCTTCCTCAAATGAGTATATGCTACTTATACTCTATCTTTACAAAATAATTTCAGTCAGACTTTTATTCTCATTGATCTTCACATATAATATACAGTAGACTTCAGCATCCTTCCTGAAGTGTTTACCCTTCTCGTCTCTGCTCCTAAAATTCTTAGTTTCCTTTAAAGCTCAGCTCAAATTGCATCTTGTACCTGATTCTCCATGCCCAGCTTACCAGTGCCTTCTGTCCAAAATTACTTTGTACTGATTTTGTTTATGTGTGAGTTACAGAGGAACACATGCCATCTGTGGTGCTGGGTGAGCTGCAGACACTTGTTTCCTCTGGTTTTGTTTGTTTCCATATCTCTTAAAGCAAAGCACATGGCAGGTACTTAGTAAAATTTTATTGATAGATTAAACTAATAATAATGAAACTTTGATGAAAAAAAGTTTGTTTTCCTTATGGCTGGGCCTCAATTATATTTCTGAATGAGGTTCCATCAGTTTAACTCAATTTAGCCCTGCTGTTCATATGCCTGTTTATATACAAGTTGATCTCTCTAATGAGTGAAATCTCAAGGCATTAGTGCATCCAGTTCCTTATAATGGATGATAAATTTTCTGCATAAAGGAACCCATTTTTTTTCTATTCTGTATGAAAATTATGAATCTCTACTTAGAATATTTTTCTCTTTCTGAAGTTAAATGCTTCCTAACCATAAAATTTCCAAATGTTCAAATGCAGTTACAACTCAGTGGATTCAACAATTTAAGATAAATATAATTTGAGTAGTGCATGGATCTCTTTGCCATGGACCTATTTTGAAAATATTTCAAGGTGCCATGATGCTTGGGAAACCCTATCACACATTCATAAATAAAACATAGTGTGCAACATTTTATTCTGACTAGTAAGGAAAAGATGATCTCTTTTGCTCTTCAACAGGTTATTCAGTGGGTTTGAGTTTGATAATCTTGGATGTTAACTTTTTGCAAAATAGTTTTAGTGTGGTAAAATTCAGTGCAACAACTTTTGAAACAGAATGTCTTCATGAACTACAGTATTGATGTACTCATCCCTTCCTTTACATAGTCTAGAAGACAATAGACATTGGTTTAGTTGTAAAAAACTGCCAATTGTTGTTAGGGTTCTTTTTAATTTTGCAAGAATTCTTCCTCTCAAACCAACTTCTAATCTAAACTTCCTAACTTTCTCTTCCATCCATTCCCTTCCCCTCCCCTCCTTATCCCTCTCCTCCTCTCCCCCATCTCTCCTCTCCTCTCTACTGTCATTCTGCCATTCACTCAGCCAGGAAATCTTGGAGTCATCTTTGACTCTTCTTTCATCCCCTCTCCCCCATATTCAATCATTTGATAAGTGTTGTTACTTTTTTAAAAAAACTTTTCTCAAATTTATCTTTTCTATTTCCACTGCCTCAGTCCTTTTTCAGGGCCTTATTATCTTTCTTTTGGATTTTTGCAATACCCTCCTAATTGATTTTTGTGTTCCTACCAAGCGCAGATCATTCTTCATGGCACCTCCAGATTAATATTCCTAAAGTACTTCTTTGATTTTGTGTCTCTATACTTCAAAAACAGTCAGTGGGTCTCCATTACCTATAAGATAAAGTTAAAATTCCTTAGTCTGACATTCAGGTCCTCACTTTATCTTTCTAACTTTTTATTTTTTAAAAGATCTTTATACCCTAATCAAATTAGTTATCAGTCCACCCCCTGTCATGTATCTTCTGGCTTCTGATTTCAGTGTCATTGCTCGTATCATCTCTATTTTTAATTCTGTCCTTCCCACCCCTTACAACAGAAGATCCTATCCATCTTCAGGGCTCAGATCAAATGTCATGCCCTCTATGAAAACTTGCCATAGGGCCCCAAGAAAACATTCCTTTGGAGGGACTTTGTTTCTGGATTACAAATCATTAGGTTATGATGTCTGGAGTTTGGATGATTCTCATCCCATCCAGACCCTATTAAGAGCCCATATCTGACTAAGATAGACTTGGAGGATTCCTGTTCTAAATGAGATGATGCTCCTGCCTCAGTTAATACAGATACCTTTAATACTGGGATGGGGTGTTCAGGAAGTCCTAAAGAGAAAGCTTCTCTTGCCAACAGGCCTTCATCTATATAGCATGTTCTGTTAAGAAAGAAGAAAATTCTACCTCTCATCCCTGACTTCTGTGCAATCTTTACCTTTCTACCCTCTATTACCTTCTCTAGTCTCATCTATAGGTTGTTTACCATACATACTTACAGGAGTTTGGTGAAGCTAGCTGGAAGAGCCAATTGTTAAATTTCATTGTGAGCATTTACACTTTAGAAATCTGCAAGCTACAAATCAGTGCTTGATGTATTTTTTTGTTGCTTGTCTAGGCTTAAGAAAATGATAGAGAAAATGTTAATAATTCAGATTAAACTTAGAAGTTTGTTGTTTAACATTTACCAGTATACCTCTGCATATCTGTCAGTTCTCTCATCTGCCGTGGTTTGATTTCCACGTACAGTTTTCCTCATTCTGTCTTTCTGTTCTGGTAAGAAGTCCCTGACTTCATTCCTGACTACCATATTGCTCCAGCCACTGGAATTGCCCATTCTTGGCTCATGTTTCTTCTTCTTGACTGAGAAATATCCTTCTTGTCTCTAACTTGCCTAGCCAAGGCCTTATAAGCCAGTCTCAGTATTTAGTCTCCATTCATCAGTGATACCTTTTGTACCTGATCTAGCCTTCACTTTGCTAGAGGAAGAATCTTTACCTCCTCTCTAGAAAGTGTTCTTGGTTAATCCTACCATGAAACTTGTATTCCCTCATTGTTAAAAGGGAGTTCTTCTTTTCTGAAATCCTGCACACTTGGTTTGAATTGCTCATTAGGTACTTATACAGCCTTGCTTCACAGTTCTTATATGCTTGTAAACTTCTTGGTATCAAGGGCTGTTTATATTTTATATATTTCCTATTTATGTAACTCTAAGAACGTTTCCCAACCAATAGGTAGGCTGAAGAATTTGAAGAATTTTCAGAAGAAAAATTCCACTCAGTAAATGACTACATGAAAATATGTTCCAAATCACTAATTGTATGTAATATGCAAATTAAAATAGCTCTTGAGTTTTTATTTTGTACCGTGTAATTAACAAAGAAAACAAAAAATGGAAACAGTTAATATTGGATAGATTGTTGGAAACAGATATACTGGTGATATACACTGTTGATTGGGTTGTGAAGTAAGTGCCTAACTTTTCTACATTTCAGTTTGGACATGCTCTTGAAAAGTGAATAAGCTATCTATACCCTTTGACACAGTGATCCCACAGTGGGTATTATACCCTAAGCAAGTCAAAGATAGAAATGTCCAGTACCTATTAAGATACTGGTAACAGTATTCTTTGTACTTGTAAAAAAAATGTGAAAGAAAATTGAGTCACTATCAATTGGGAAATGTCTGAAAAAAAACTTACACTAAATTATAATAATAATAGAATATTATTATGAAACAAAAATTACAGATATGAGGAATTCAGAGAAACTGGAAAGATTTGTGTGAACTGATGCTGAAGAAAACAAGTAGAACTAATAGAGCAGTATGCACAGTGACTATAAGGATATAAATGAAAAGATCCCTAAGAGGAAGTTAAATCCTGAGTATTTGAAAAATCAACTAAAGTTTCTAGAGAGTAGATGATGAAGTATACCTCCTCTTATAGGTACTTAAGTAGGTGGGACTATGGATAAAATATTGTGTACATCAGATTGGTTTGCCATATGGTATATTTTTACTTCTTTTTCTTTGTCTCAATGGAGGGTTCATTTTAGAGGAAGTCGAGAAATGACTATGACATAAAGGCAGAAGGCATCAATAAAACAAATTAAAAAAAACTATTTCTTATTTTCTGGAGGTTCAGGATACTAAGCTTTTTTATTCTGTAAATATAAAGTTATTGATCATGGTGAATAAATTATAAAGTATTTTCTTGTAATGTCATTTTTGGAGCTAAAAGGCAAGAACTGAAATTTATTTTAATGCAGCAGTAGTGTTTTTCTTGTTGTTGTTGAGTAGCTGAATATATTATTTGCTTCTTATTTAGATGCCCCTCAATCTTACCAATGCTGTGGCTACAGCTAGGCAGCTTTTGGCTTACACTGTGGAGGCAGCAAATTTCTCTGACAAAATGGATGTTTTATTTGTGGCTGAAATGATAGAAAAATTTGGAAGATTCACCAAAGAGGAAAAATCAAAAGAGGTATTTTCCTAGTTCAACTATATAAAAATGGAAATTAGAAATATAGCACTTACAATTTGGACCTTCCTTTTCACATAGCTGTTAATTTTATTACTTTTTAAATTAATGTTTTATATTAATTTTGAATTTGAACAGATAGTAGATTTTAATTCCAAGGTCACATTTGAGGAAATGTCAAACCTATCACAGTGTACTGATTTTGAAAGCTTTTTGACTCCCCAACCAACAAGGCACCCAGCATTGTCATGGAAGAATCCAAGAAACCGACATTAGTGCAACCACACCACATACACAGAAACACTAAAGAACCAAGAGTTCTCATTTGTTCTCGTAAGATTTCTTTCTCCAGTCAATTTTAGTCTTCTTTGTGCTAATATAGATTCCAGGAATTGAAAGTATATGGTACATTGCATAACTTGTAAAATCTTTGAAAAAAGAAATCTTATCTAAGGAGGTTTTTGAAATTCAAAGTCACATTCCCATAAAGACATGTTTTAAGAAGTCTAGGTGAAGCTTTCTCAAGTTTGAAAGTATGTGATTTTAGTGGGATCATTTTAATACTGTATACTGTTGTATACTCATCAAAGTAATATTTTTTGTTAAAACATGATTTCCAGGTACAGAGACAGAGTTTGGAAGTTACTTAGCAGTAACTGGAGAATGTTTGTTTTCAGTAAATTCAAGAATCTGATTTTGCTGTATCCCTCAAGATAGTATTTAGGCTATATCCTAGAAATTTGAAATCCATTTATGCAATTTATAAGTTGCTTCTGTTATTCAGGGCACCCAAGGTATCAAACTTTTTAGGCACTGAAAGACTTCATACAAATAGCTTGCCAATAGCTATAACTGGTCCTAGAGCTTTAGAATGTTAGAACTAGAAAGAACTTAAAGGAATTCCTAGAAGGTCTCAGATTTTGTCATTGTAGGAAACTTCCAGAATGTAAACTTCTTTCACCAAGGCAAATAGACAACCAGCCTAAGCCTTAAGGAATTGTCCAGGGAACATAGAGGTGACACTCTTTCCAGGGATTCTGAGCTAGTAAATGACAGACATATGGGGAACCTCAGTCTTTCTAATTTCAAGACCAAAACTCTATTCATGCAACCACTTGTCCTGTGGAAAGGAACGGTTGATAATTTATTTCAATCCTCTCATTTTACAGGTGTGAACATTAAGGATGGGCCAGAAAAAGTTAAGTGATTTGATCTAGGTTACACAGCTAATTAATTAATGGCAGAACTTGCCCTAGGTCAGAGTTTCCTAACTTTTTTTGTCTAGCCCATGTTTCTCTATTGCGGCTACAAGGATTTCATAAGAGATTTTGTCAAATGCTTTGCTAAAATCTAGGTAAATTATATTTCTAGCATTTCTCTGATATGTAACAGTCTAGTAACCCAGTTTAAAAAAGGAAATGACATTAGTCTGATATGACATATTCTTAATGAAGTCATGCTAGTTCTTTGTGATCATCATTTTCTTTTCTCAATATTCAATCACCTTGTAAAGTTGTAGAATTTTTCCAGCATTAAGTTCAGTATCCTATAGTTAACAAACTTCATTTTCTTTTCCCTGGCCCCTCACCCTTTAAAAAAAAAAAGAAAAGAAAAACAACTGGACACGATTTTGCCTTCCTCCAATTTTGTGGTACTTTCTTACATTCTCTACCATCTTTCAAAGATCACTACTTCAGTTACATCTGTCAGTTTCTTCAGTCTCCTAAGATGTGGTTTGTATGGGATGGGTATTCCGTTATTCTCTTCTTTCTTTTAAAGCTTTTTATTAATATCTTTTTTGTTTTTATATCACCTGGATTTCCTCACATTCCCATGCTCACCAGAGCTATCCCTTATAACAAAGAACTTTGATAAAAGAGAAAACAAATCAAGAAAACTGATTAACATTAAAAAAAATGACACTATATTTAGAGTTCCACACCCATAAACCAGCTGTGTAATGGTGTGGGAGAAGTTGTCTTCTCATGTCTTTTCTTGGGGTCTAGCTTGTTCACTTTTTCCCCCAAGGCTAGGTTTCCCATATTGCCCAGGCTGACAATAAAGGGGCTATTTGTAGGCTCACCACATTGACACAGATCTTTGTGGAGACACCTGATTGGCATAGCTTACTAGCCCAGAACTTCCTTGCTTAAGTGGTCTACTTAAGTGACCTTCACTCTATAGCTGAGGCAATGGGTGGGTGCCACCACATGAGGTCAAGCTTGTTCTGTATTATCTTGCACCATTCATTTTTGATGGCTTGGTGGTTATTACAGCTAGGTGACATAGTGGATAAAGTGTTGGACTCAAAGTCAGGAATATCAGAGTTCAAATCCTTCCTCATATGCTTACTAAGTACATAACACTAGGCAAGTCATTTAATCTCTATCAGCCTCAATTTCTTCATCTTTAAAATGGAGATGTTAATAGCACCTATCTCACAGGATTGTTGTAACATTCAAAATGAGATACGTTTGCAAACCTATGAAAGCTAGTTATTATTCTCAACATTCACATTGTTATAATCATTGTTCATATATATAAAATTTTTTTTTCCTGGCTCTACTTATTTCATTTTGCATCTGTTCATATAAGTCTTTCTGTGCATCTTTGTATGCATTATTTTCATTGTTTCTTACAGTGTGGTAGTATTCCATTATATTCATGTGCCTCAACAAGTTTAGCCATTTCTCAGTCTTTTTATCTGACAAACTGTATTTCTTCATTCTGTCTGAATGGACGCACTCAGTTGGATATAGAAATCTATCTCACTTAAAGAAAAGTAGGAAGGGAAGGCGATAAGAGAAAGTGGGGGTGGGGCTGATAGGAGGGTGGATAAGGAGAGGCAGTAGTCAGAAGCAAAACACTTTAGAGGATTGACAGGGTGAAAGGAGAGAGAGTAGGATAAAGGGAGGGGGATGATGTGCAGGGAAATACACAATTAGTAATCGTAAATATGCAAAAATGTTTACAGCAAGTTTCTCAGATAAAGGCCTCATTTCTCAATTATATAGAGAATTTAGTGAAATTTAGAAAAATAAGAGCCATTTTTCAACTGACAAATGGTTGAAAGATACAAACAGGTAATTTTAAGAAGTAATCAAAACCATTTATAGTTACATAAAAATGCTCTAAATTGCTATTGATTATAAAAATGTGGGGGCAGAGCCAAGATGGTGGAGTAAAAGCAGTGACTTGCTTGAGCTCTCCCCTAAACCCTTCCAGATACCTATAAAATATGGCTCTAAACAAATTCTAAAGCAGCAGAACCCACAAAAAGACAGAGTGAAACAAATTTCCAGCCAACACAACCTGGATGGTTGATTGGAAAGGTATATCGCACGGGACTGGTAGAGGAGCGAAGTTTGGCGTGGGCGCGCAGGCCCCAGTGAACCTGGAGCAGGCCTCAGAGGACTGAATCGAAGGCAGCTGTGGCAGATTCCAGACTTCTCAACTCAGGAATGCCAAAGACAACTTAGAAAGTCAGTGGGAAAAGTCTGTTTTTGCAGTGCTGAGAGAGGAACTTGGGGTCTCAGCTCCATTCCCCAAGCGTGGCCCGGGGTGGGCACTGCCTCTTGAGCTTCCAGCCCACAGACTGAGGGGGAAACGAATGGCTGATCAGAGGGGGATTGCAGGGATCTCTCTGCTGGTGCAGGATTCTCTTGCTTTGCCCCTGCTTGGATCTGTGTCACAGTTCTGGGTGGTGGTCCTGGGGTGAGGAGGAGCACTGGCGTGGTGGAGCTTGTAGTGGCTGTGCAGAGAAAATCTTCCTCACAGTTCCAAGGCAGAAAAAAGTGTTTGTGGTCACTTATAGACCAGAGCACCATCCAGGAAAGGAGTAAACACCTCACCCTTGATCATAGCACGTTGGAAAAACTGAAAATTTACAGGTCCTTAGAAGTATCTCTGAAAGCAACTGCACAAAACCCTTGAAGCTTGGGACAGTACTTTCTCCACACTGGAAACAGACTCCTACCTTAACAAAGACTTTACTACTCTAGTAATTGGCCAGGATCATGAGCAATAGAGCAAAAAGTGTCAGACTATATTATCTTACTTTGGTGACAAAGAAGATCAAAACACACAACCAGAAGAAGACAATGAAGCCAAAGCTCCTACATCCAAAGCCTCCAAGAAAAATATGAATTGGTCCCAGGCCATGGAAGAGCTCAAAAAGGATTCTGAGAAGCAAGTAAGAGAAGTGGAGGAAAAACTGAGAGTGATGCTAAAGGAGACCCAAAAAAATACTGAAGAAAATAACACCTTAAAAAATAGCCTAACCCAAATGGCAAAAGAGGTCCAAAAAGCCAATGAGGAGAAGAATGCCCTAAAAAGCAAAATTGGCCAAATGGAAAAGGAAGTCCAAAAGCTTACTGAAGAAAATACTTCCTTAAAAATTAGAATAGAGCAATTGGAAGCTAGTGACTTTGTGAGAAATCAAGACACTGTAAAACAAATCCAAAAGAATGAAAAATTAAAAAACAATGTGAAATATCTCATTGGAAAAACAACTGACCTGGAAAATAGATCCAGGAGAGAGAATTTAAAAATTATTGGACTATCTGAAAGCCATGATCAAAAAAAGAGCCTAGACATCATCTTTCAAGAAATTATCAAGGAAAACTGCCCTGATATTTTAGAACCAGAGGGCAAAATAGAAATTGAAAGAATCCACAGATCTCCTCCTGAAAGAGATCCCCAAAGGAAAACTCCTAGGAATATTGTAGCCAAATTCCAGAGTTCCCAGGTCAAGGAGAAAATAATGCAAGCAGCCAGAAAGAAACAATTCAAGTATTGTGGAAACACAATCAGGATAACACAAGATTTAGCAGCTTCTACATTAAGGGACCACAGGGCATGGAATATAATATTCTGGAGGGCAAAGGAGATAGGATTACAATCAAGAATCACCTACCCAGCTAAACTGAGTATAATCCTTCAGGGGAAAAAATTTCAGTGACTTTCAAGTGTTCTTGATGAAAAGATCAGAGCTGAATAGAAAA